CCCCGGCTTTCTTAACCCAGGGACTCCCATAGCAGAACTGAGATTCAGGCTTTCTTCCCGCAATGAATGAGCTTTCCCAAACGCAGCTGAAAGCGCCCGATCCAGCACGGCCTGCGCTGGAAATTCTTGGGTAAAATTAATCAAAATAAGTTTGCTCTGAGGCCCCTAAGCTTCAGCTAGAAGAACGCCACTGTAACTGGTAGCGCTCGGAGAAAGTTCGCCAACTACCCAGGGGGGCAGCTGGTGGCACTGAAAAGGCTACCTGCAGGACAGTGTGGAAGGTCCTCTTTTGGAATGCTCGTCATTCTCTGGAAGTCGTCGTGACAAGCGTTGCAAAAATGGGTGGTCCCGAAGCAAAAAAAAACAGCCACCGAACAGCAGTAGCGGCACTTGTACTCCAGAAAGTCTGTTCCGTGCTTGGGACACATCTGCGGGGAAGAAGGAAAACACAGGTGGCTGAAGCTAGAGAGAGTGAACGCCGAGACCCTCCGTTTAACACGTCCCTGAAACAGCGGAAGAAAACGCGTCGGTACCTGAGCTCGTGACACATCTGAGCAGGCACCGCAGATGAGCTCCCGGGGGTCATAGTCATCTCCCTGTCCAGCTTCAGCATCACAACGGGCTTCTCCGCCAAAGTAAGCCTGGAGGAGGAAACCGAGGAGAAATGCTGAGCAGCGTCGCGCCAACTTCCAGAAGTAATCTGCTCCGGGGAGTCGGTGAAACGGTAACAGGCCTCCTGATATGGCTTAATTAATCGTTTTATGCGTCCAGCATTTCTCTGCTTTGGGAAAAACCAAAGCAAGGGGCATGCAAGTGAGGAACTTTCACAAAAAGCTCCAAAATAAAACGTTTTTGTTTCAAAAATCCATTTTGAAACTGGAGGCGTCTGTTATGCAGTTGGGCCAGTAATGAACCATCATATACTCTGATGTACTGTAAGTTATCATGCTTTTTGAAATTCTTTCAACACTGGAAGTAATGGGAAGTTATACACATTACATATTAAACGTGTAAATCCAATAGCAGAAAAGGCATTAGGATGTATCCTTTTGAAAGATGGCTTTATTCCAAGTACGCTCCAAGTATGCGTGATTCTATGTCAGCAAAGCTGGGAGTGACGGGATGAACTGTTAGAGTGGGCAGAAGTACCTGGGCCTTATGCTGGCTAAGCCGCTGATTTGCTAAGGCAGGCAAAAGCATCTAGAGAGAGGGTGGAATGATCAAAGGCCTTAGGCACTGAAAAGGCACCAAGGGAATTTGTAAGAAAACGAGAAGGCTTGCAGGAAATTTTAAAAAATAGAGCAAAGAAGTAAGGGGTTCTTGAAAGCAAGGGTTGGCAAATAAAAAGTTCAGAAATAAGGGACCTGTTCTTTGGTTGCTAAGTATCTAGCTTGAGTGTCACTACCAAGACATTGACTGTTCAGGTCTCTTTCAGTTTTCATGAGATAGTTGGATTGAAAAACTAAATCCGGTACCAGAAATTCAATACAGGGAGTCTCCAGTTGAAGAACGAGTTCCATTCCCAAGATCTGTCCTTAAGTTGAATTTGTACATAGGCCGGAACAGTGTTATGGTATAGCACTGTATAAGTAGCATCGTGTAATGAACTCAAACCATTGCATATTTAACTCAAATCCTTGTGTATTTAACTCGAATTTTGCTACCATAGGCTCCGTTCTTAACTACTGGTTGTCTGTAACCCCGGCTTTCTTAACCCAGGGACTCCCATAGCAGAACTGAGATTTTTTTATGTAATTGTGCTCAAACGTAATTTGCTTGAATATACAGCAATCATAGTGCCTTAAACTTCACCATCTAAAAATATGTGGCTCGGCAAAGAGTTTAGGAAATGGCAGATCCCCATTTATTAACCACGCTGACACACGCATCCCAAGTCCGCCATCTGAGCCTGGGTCATACCTTCTTGCATTTGTAGCAAACGTAATATGCGTATCTGTTCATGGCAAAGCCAGCAGGGTCGTTATGAAACCGAACTCCAGGTGTTGTGATGGCTTCGCTCTTGTGCAGCCCTTCGTACTCCAACCGCATTAAGGCTTTCCTCTTCACATCCTCGTAAAGTTCCTTGATCGGATCAAGCAATTCCTTTAATACCACATGGTTTATTTTGTTCTGTTGTGTTAAAAAGAAGCAAAGGAGCAGTAAGCCACATATCACTGTTTATTGGGCAAAAAAAGAGATCATACTTGGCTTGGCATAGAACAAGTGGAAATTAGTCTGTTCGTATAAATAGCCCTCCTGTGAAGGGGAAAGACAGCACAGCCCAAAGCATTTCATTGCGTGACTCTCGGTGTAAGTGTTTAGCAAGAGCCCCTATACAGGGCATGCACACACTCCCTCTCTCTTTGCCTCCAATTTTCCTATACATTTTGAAATCCTGAGGCATTTTAGCATGGCTTTACAGGTTGCCATCTGTTTTTATTGCCACCTTATCTTTCTCAGTATCGGATGACTCTGATGCATCACTAATCTGACTACATTTGATATAGCCCACAGCAAGAATGTGTAGTGCAAAGTTATTTTATTTTCTGTAATATAGGTTATTCAAATAGAAATTAGTAAACTACGTTTAAAAATACCTGTATAACAAATTTATCTTTCTGCATTTACCGAGTAGCTGGAAATGATTGATCAAGTATTTCACTCCAAGGGGTACTCCCACCTTGGTGTTCCAGGACTACAGTAACCCTCTCTGTGTTTCTCTAAATGAGGAATGTGGTGTCTGCTGACCACTCTGCAACTTCCACCTCTGCAGTTCTTAGATGAGCAGCACAGCAGTAGCGCACTCTGGCTTCTTAAATATTTTCCTTTGCTTTCCATAAATAAATTACTCTTTTAAGTCATCTGTTTGCCCCAGACCTTTTGCTTTTCACCTTTCTTGATATTTTTCCTTTTATGTGCACTGGGGGTTTGTGGGGACATTATTTCATATGTACACATGGAATGGGCAGCACATAGGTAAATGAAATGAAATGAAATAAAATAAGTTAAGTTAAAAACAATGTTAAAAAAAATTGCAGGTAATTGATCACTATGAAAACCAGTGGAAAACGTGCAATTTTGTTTTGCCCAGCCCAGCACTTCCAGTTCATTAAGATTATCAGTCTCAGTGTTGATGGTGATATCAGCGTCTCCTTCAGTGTTAATGATCAAATGCATTAAAATAGCTCTCGACTCTGTAACTTACCTTGCAAATGGGGCAGGACATGAACCCGAAAGTAATGCGGGGGCCAAGCCATCTGTTTTCTAGAACCCGGCAACAGCATTGCAAGTGGAATATATGGCTACAGTCCAGCTGCAGAAAGTAAGATCTGTGAATACGTTTGCAGTAATACTCCTTGATAGACACACCAAAGCTCAGCATTCCCTAACTGCAAGTACATTCGTCATTTTTTATAAGCTATGTTGTCTCTTAGCCACGATTTGTTGAACAATCAAAGTGGTTTGATTTCCACTTTACATCAGCCCTGATTTACAATCCATAATAAACAGGTTTAGCATTATTTCCGATACCAATAATTTAGTCTCCAGAAATAGCCATCCTGAACCAGCATGTTGGGCAATGTTAGCACTGTGGACTCAAGGTTGTGATATGGAAAGTGGGGGCTGATACTTATGGGTGAATCAGTTAGGAAGAAAGGAAAACTACGTGCTTGTGTGCTCTGGTGTACTCCTCAGGAGTTCACTGCAAATATTACACTTAACCAAGATGGATGCTAACTATTATTTGTTGCTTTAATCCAGTAAAACCACATTTTGGCTAGGATCTGCTCTCTGAAGAGGTACACGTGGCAGTCCCACAGGCACCCTCCTTAGTTTGCTAATCCCACTTCAGACTTTATTTTCATGTTCTTTTTTACAGCTAATTCAGGATTAAATTTATTCAAGTTGAATGCTGAAGCATGGTGAAAAAGACCAGATTTACATGTCACTAGGGAGAGAGCAATTGACCCTATTAAACCAGGCATGGAAGCTGATCACTGGTCCTTTGTGCGTGTGACCCCTTTCGTGCAAGGGAACTCTGCTTTTCTGCTCGAGCTGCTGCGCCACGTCTGCAGTTGGCAGCAGCTTCACTGGTGCCCTCTCGCCACTCTCGGAGTGATTCAAGAGGACGGGATGCCTCGAGAGTGGGGTTGGGGGGAGGATTGGAGGGAAGCCGTCTCCTCCTTTCCATACATATGGTAAGGAAATCGGTTCACGTGGTCCCTGCTGGACAGAGGTTAGCTGTAGCTTACGGTCTTGGATGGATTTCTTCTCACAGATGTAAACCGGCTCAGCAGCGATTTGGCACATGTGATCCAAAGCTGCTGTTATCTGGCTCTCAATTCCTTCCAACACCAGATGGCTCTAGAGGGAGGTGGGGGTTCTGCTCCTGGTTCCCCGTAAGGGGCCCTGGGAAGGGAGCTTCCAGCCCTGCTGTGAATTTTCCGTGAAGCCACCGGACTCCCAAACTGCTGTTCCAGCATGTGATCCAGGGTGTTTTTGGTTCTCTGCAGTGCCAGACTCAGGAATCTGGATTCCTGTTAGCCGGTGTGCAGGGCTACTGACTCTGTTGGCCCACCTTCCGTGCTGCTGGTAATCTGCGCTCAAATGTACATGGTGTTTGGCAAAGTCAGGTCTGGTGAAAAAGGTGATGTTGCAAACTCATGATATCCCAAACTATGAGAGCCTGTTCTTCAGTTCTCCTGGCACTTACTTTAAATGCTCTGAATACTTATTCTTCATGCCAAAGAAAACATTCATTTCAAAACGAACACCAAATGAGACAGAGTCCAGATAAACCACATTAGAACAGCAAATAGCTCCGGATACATAGAAGCGTACGAACCTTAATACCACCAGAAGAAGAGGCCTAAAAAATAAGAGAGCCGGACCTTTCCGCGCAGGTCTGCTGGGACCCGGGTTTGGGTTAGGCTGCCGGACAGTAGCCCTTTACCAGCGCTGCGCGTCAAGCACGCACCTGAACAGCGGGCGCTGCTGAGAGGGCCTCTGTGAAGCAGATCATGCACATGTCATCGGCATCCTGCTTTAAGGCGGTGGTGGCGCTCTTGTCGCAGCCGTGCAGGCAGGGCAGGCAGCGCTCCTCGCCCCTGACTCCTCCGCAAGGGTGGCCGCAGGGGTGGGTTTTGCTGCACGCGAGTTTGGCGTATTCCTAGGAGAAGACCAGCATCAAAGATATGAGTGTCCAAAAACGTATAGAAATCTTAGAAACAGGATTTAACGGGTAGGAAAGGTAGAATTGTCCTTTGGCTATTGGACTGCTTCACGAAGGAACCAATTTGGTGAGAAATGGGTATTTTGAACAGGAACAAGATGGGGAAAGGTAGCCTGGTCAGAAGCAGTGTCTTCTCCTACATACAACAAAACCTTGATTTAATGGACCATTCAGAGGGAGGGGAGGGTCTGCAAAATCTAAACTTACATCATTTGCATAATTACATAATAATACAATAAAATCTCCCCTTATAGTGGACATTCCTCATCCAGAACTACCTTTTTTCCATGAAAGGAAATCCAGTTCTGAACTACTACTTTATTGTCTGCTACAGAACACAAGACTCCCTCATCTTTACATCTACTTTTAAATAATTTTGGACCTATTAAAATAATTTTTGGGACAGCTTTCATTGTCAAATAAAAGAAAGGCAGAGGAGCCCTGCGTAGTATATCTTAATGTGTGTAAGAAAACTTTTTTCTTTTCTCAAGTTGGCATTTGAATGGGTGGGTGGACTGGCAGGGGAGCAGCAGGAGTGCTCAGGGCTTCTCCTGCCCTGTTTCGGTCTGCTCCTTCCCGGGCAGGGTTTCCCTTGGCAAAGAACCGTCAGAGGACAGCAGTTCCACTCTGGCTCTGCTCCGCCTGTCCCCTTGCTGGGCGCTCACTTGTAGCTTCACCCAGATCTTGTCCCGCTGAGCTGTCCACCTAGAGATGCCCTTGGATTACTGCGTGAGTCGCAAACAGCCTGTCTCTGAGTTTCTCAGAATGGAGTCCTGCTTGCTCGGAGTTTGGGCATACAGACCTGGCAATCGGCATCCGAACAGACGCTCCCGACGGCTGATAATTCTGTTCCATTTCGGCAACCACAGAAACGACATACTTCGCAGCTGCTTGTGGTGGGCTTGCCTAGATCAAAACCAGAAAGAAAAGGAAAGAAAAGAAAGATACTTCCGCATTATCAATCAGGCAAATATTAACCATACTACTGGCAGAAAAGGGTCTGACCAGCAGCCATGTCTCTGCAGTCCCAAGACAAGACAGGCCCTGAACAATGGAAGGATGTAGTGGATGAACGTTTGCTTGGCCTACTGTGGAACGGCAGCAGCTGTTCAGGGTTTTTGGTGCGGACCCAGATCTACTTGCCAGGTCCTCTTGAACCAGAGGTATCAGGGACAGATCCTGAAAAGGTCTGTGCATCAAACAGGGCTCCCTAGGAAAATCCTGCAAGAAGGGAATTTACACACTATACTTTTCTCATTTGCTTTAATACTTACAGTACATGAGGCGCTGGGCAAAGTCACCCGTCAGGCATCGTTACTACACCGATGTAGTATAATTATTATTTAAACTTGTACGTCACCCGACTCTCAATGACTCACAACAATCAAAGAAATTACAATCCAATCAATAAAACAAAAGATAAAGATAAAAGATGGCCAGTGTGATGAAGCGAGGGCTCTCCCTCTCCCTTGCTAAAGGCCTGGGTGAAGAGCCAGGTCTCCACAGCTCTTCTGAACAGCAGCACAGCGGGGGCTGTCCAGATCTTGAGGGGAACCTCGTTCCAGAGGGCAGGGGCTGCTACAGAGAATGTGCACTTCCGGGGTCCTGACAGACGGCATTGTTTAACTGAAGGAACCCGGAGTGTGCCAACCCTGCAGGACTGAACTAGCCGGGCAGATGTTAGGGGAGACAGGCGGTCGCTCGAGCAACCAGAGCCCATGCCATGCAGAGCTTCATAGGCACACTCAGCACCTTGAATCGGCCTCAGTTGTACATCTCGACCCCTGGCTGGTCACGTGATGCAGTCAAGATGCTGACCCAGGGCCAGCTGGGGAGGAGCTGGCACCAGCCCAGTCCTCAGGAGACTGAGGGGCTGTGGGCTCTCGGCCCACCTAGTTCTGGGGATTGTCCATGTCTAGTGAACAAGACTCAGTGCCCCATTCAGGACATGGGCACAGTCTGGGGTGTTCCTGGCCTCTCAGCTCCTGCTATAGCTGGAAGGTCTTGTGCACCAGTTGTACCCGTTTTGGGTCAGGAAGCCCTACTCGCAGCCACTCCTTCTTGGTCTGTCCCCAGAATGCATGCCGCGGCACGCCCATGAAACACCCCTCTTCTGTGAGCTGCACTGATTACCAGTAAGCTCCTGGGTACGACCAAGGCACTGGTTATCACCTATAAACCCCTACATGGTATGTGGCCTGGCTACTTGAGGGACCACAGATATTCCTTAGTGTAGACTGAATTGGCTTCCTTCAGGTCCCACCAATTAAACAATGCCATCTCGTGAGACCCAGGAAGGGGGCCTTCTCTGT